GATCTGAGCTCCTAAAATCTTGAAAGCAGAGAGCAGCTGAGTTTTTAATGGTTGTAATGAATTGTTTGTATCTCTGATATGAGGACTCTGACGTGGCTCCGAAGGTACACAATATGCATGTACGTTGCAGAGAAATCCCAGTGGTTGCCAATACTCAGCAGTAAATTAAGCAGTGAGGAATTCTTGAACTTGCCGGTGTTGGTGGTGGCTGCTCACTGAATGACATTAAAAAAACACTAAATGGGCCAGGCGCGGTGGCTGACGCCTGTAATCCCTGCACTTTGGGAGGCTGAGGTGGGTGGATCACCATAGGTCAGGAGTTTGAGACCAGCCTGGCCAACATGGTGAAACCCCGTCTCTACTAAAAATACAAAAATTAGCCAGGAGTGGTGGTGCATGCCTGTGATCCCAGCTACTCAGGAGACTGAGGCAGGAGAATCGCTTGGACCCAGGTGGCGGAGGTTGGAGTGAACTGAGATCGTACCATTGCACTCCAGCCTGGGCAAAAAGAGTGAAACTCCATCTAAAAAAAAAAAAAAAAAAAAAGAGAAAAACACTAAATGTGTATCACTGCAGTACTAATTATGATAACCAGATCAGTGTTTTTAGGCCACTGATAGAGTTAATGTTAATTGAGGCTTATTTTTAACCAAAACAGAAATGGAAAAAAGGTGCTTGGCTATATCTTTCCAATTGCAGAACTAATTATAAGTAACATTTATTCAATCAAAATATACCAAATAACTTTTCTTATCCTTTCTCCTTTGTTTTCTCTCACTCTACAAGCTTTCCAGTGACCTTAGAAACACCCCCACACCTATGTCCATCTCTAATTTCTTTCTTTTCTGCCAATTAAACAGCCATCTGGGGAGCATTTTTAAATGTTCATATGTAAAGTGCTTAAAATATCAAGAAATATATTTTTGGAGAGTAAGAAAATATAAAAAATATAACTGTTATCATTTTTCCCTCTTGTATGCCCCCAACATTCATACATCCATTGCTATGCATAATAAATGAACCAATTCTAACAAGAAGGATTGTCTCAACAGCCATGCAATGGCACACTTATGTTCTGCAGCCCTTCCCAGGCATGCTTCAAACTCGTCATACATGTGTGTCCACATTTTGCTCCAGTGTAAACCTTATCTTCACTCCACCTGAGCTGGCATACTGCTTTGAAATATCTGTCAGATAATCATGAAGTGATGAAGAGAATCATGAAGAGAATTATAATTTGCTTGCTCTATGAAGGCCCCAATGAGGTTGTCACAATTAAGTAGGCATCAGAGGAAACACATATATTTACTAATACTTTGAAGAACTTTTCACAATGGAGGTAGAATGCTTAATCAGGCAATAAACTCTTCAACTCAGTAAAAATGCAGAACTGGGAGGCTTACACAAACAATTAAACAAATAAAAAACAGTGCAATAATTAAGGAGTAATTTTAATTCAAAATAACCTTAACTTAAGGAGAAACTTAAAGCTGGTGTCCCACAGCCAGTATTTGAAAGTGAATCCCAGAAGTTAGGAATCTGGAAATCTGCACTTGTAGATCTGGCCTCTGGATGTGCTGTCTCCCCCAGGTTATCTGTTAGTTTGGACAACTCACTCTTCCCTTAAGGGAGATAGGACTGAAGTTTATCAAAAGGAATTTCACCAAGAAATAAAGGCATAGAAGAGATAGACATAAAACAAAAACAAAACAAAACAAACACATAGACTCAAATGGCATTAAGAAGAGTGTGTGTGTGTGTGTATGCATATGTTTAATACTACATACTATATATGTGCATGTATACATATATGTTCAACATGATGTGTGAAGTATTATGCTAAAAATGTACACCCATCATTGTTCTTCCTGCAACAAATATTGAATTTAACTACTCTTATAAGCACTGGGAAAACAGCTTTGTATTTGAGTTGGGGAGACAGAAAATCATACAGTATGCAAACAATTAGTTGGAAGAAAAATAGAGTGACTGGAGTATTATTTTAGGAGGCCTGTTAAGTAAAGGCCTCCATGGGATGTGACATGAGGCTGAGACCTGCATGAGTCAAGGCTGTAAACTCCACAGAGACAAGCAAGGGGAAAAGGCTAAGGCTTAGCCCTCTGGGGCAGTCATTTTTATCACACCCACTTTAAGTATGGGAAAAATAGGGCTCACAGGGGAGCAAAATGGCTTCCCTGAGATTCTACGGCCAAGAAGCAGTATTAATAGCCATATATCAGATGGGCTGTTCTACTTAGATTATTTCCTCTCCAGCTGGTTTCACCAAACTCCTGTCCAGGCCCCATCCTTTCCATTGCTCTGTCATTTTCTAGTCTCATTTCCTCTCCCCAAGAGACTGGTAATTCCTCTTTTAAACCTTCCCTAACTCTCACAGGAAGAAAACTTAATGAAACCAGTTGGCACTAACCTCTTTCAGAGGGAGTGCTACTTTATGCCTGCATCTGCTCTCCCTTCCCACCTGTAAGCCCTCGAGGGGAAGAGAGGGTGTGATACCATTTACCTTTGCCGAGCAGGCAACTAGCACAGCCCTTTGCATAGAGGCAATTAAGAAGTGAACTAGTAAGAAGTATTTGAGGGAAGGATGGAGAAAGGAAGGAAAAAAAGGAAGGGAGAAAGATTTTTAGTTCAGGATGTAATACAGTTTAGAAAATGAGAAGAGATTGCAGAGAGAAATAAAGGTAGCTTCACACAATTTCTAGACTTCTTATTAGCATTGTGTTATCTTTGTTTCTTGTTTAAATGCATTTAGTACAAATGCATTTTTCAACGGTCTTAAATTACACAAGGAAGAAACTCCAATTTGAGGCTATCAGTAAAGGCGGCAATGGGAAAGGGAGAGGTACAAGGGACCCTCCTGATCTCCTAAAATCATACCACATGGGTGATACTAACTCTGAATGTTAGATCAATGTACATTATTATACCTACTTATGAGGGAACAGTTAGCTTCCCTGTGGGTAACTGCTATTTGTGTCCCAAGTTTCAGACGCAGCATAGGGAATATGTAAATCTAGGAGCTCTAGAGTCAAATTCCTTGGCTTTGCATTCCTCTTCCTGGTTTAGCAGCCAGGGGAGCCCCTCCTCCTGTTTCCCTATCTTTTCAATGGTGATGTTCACAGCACCCACCCCATGAGGGTGCAGTCATCATTAAATGAGTGAACACATATAAAGCACTTAGATGGGTGTATGGCACCTGGCAAGGACCCAGTGCAGGTTAGCTGCTAATATGGTACTTCCTAAATAAACAAAATCATGACAAAGTATACTGGGGTAAACATATGTGATTTGGAGAGAAGAAAGTGTCAGTATTTTTATTACCATCATTCATCACAGTCTCTGGAGATGAAGAGGTTACAACAGTTTCTGGAAGTTATAGATAGAAAACTTGTTCATGTCCTCTCACTTTTCAGCTGCTTCCTACAGCTTTTAGAGGGGTCAATGACCTGAGATGTTCTGCAACGTCCTTTTCTATATGCTAAACTACTTATTTTTCAGTGTTCATTTTTTCCTATTGTTTTTATCCATCAAGAATGATGACGAGTATGTGGATTGTGCATAAAGGCAGGGTGCTCACATGATCCTTGATCACTGATGTCTTAAAGCTTGGGTTAAAGAAGGAGGAGGAATTCTGACTCGACTTCTCTGTTCTGCATGATAATAACAGAGGTGGAATGTAAACAATGAATGTTCTTGACCCTTTTATTAACGCAAATCCTGAAGTTATTCGTGTGTCCCTACTAGAATTTCAAAGATGTGCAGACTTCCTTGGGAATGATAACCGTCTTAAATTATAAACATAGATCCTGAAGAAACGTTTCAGAAAGAGGATAAAAATAAAAATAGGACTGCTTTTAATGTCTGAACTAAGGGCTTGAGCAGTTTCCATGTCTAGAGTGGAAGTATTAAAAACGCAAAGATGTCTTGCCTTTTCTTACCAACCTACCGCCAAGAACCCAGGAGGGCAGCAGTGGGCTAGAAACAGGGTTTCTGTGCCAAATTCTGAAGACAGCCTTTTCCGAGATAATTGGCCTGCAGGCCTGTTCCCTGTTCTGGTGTGCTTTTGAGCTCCTTGCGCAGTTCCACCAGGTACAACAAATGCGCCCATAAAATCTGACTTTGAACCCTGATGAAATTTAATCCTCTGCAGAACGTCTCCTCTCTGTTTTATTACGTGGGAGAGAGCAGGAGAGTTTCCACAGGATTCACAGAGTTTGTCTGTATCTTAATTATCCGAGATCTGATTTCCAAATCCTTCTCAAACAATTTATTTCTATGAAGACATATTTATGCCCATTCCGGAAACCTTCCCCATTTCTAGAAAAAGCTACGCATCTTCTTCTTTCTCGACTTCTCTTGTCTGCCTCCCGGTGAGGATTTCGAAGGGTCTGTGAGTTGAGAACCCTAAGCCAGGTCTCCCCGCGGCGTCCTGGCTAGTCCCGGCGCCCTGGGCCAGAGCACCTCTCAGCCGCAGCGCCCCTTGCCAACCAAACTCTGTCCAACTTTCCCTTTCAGACTCCAGCAGGGGCGTCCTCCAGGCAACCGGCTGCGGCAGGCAGAAGCGACCTCGGCTCGGAGACCCCCGAGCTGAGAGCTCAACGCCGGCTGAACAGACTCACCTGCGCAGCGCCCGCCGGCCCCCTCGCAGACGGGCAGGTTCCGGAGCTCGGCCTTGAGCTCCTCCGCGCTCGCCCATCCTGGGTGTCTCGCGCCCCGACCCTTCCCCCCCTGACCCCAAGCCATCCCAACTCCCATCCTCGCCACCTCTGGGGCAGCTCAACTAAGCCGTGTCCCTTCCGTTGCAAACGTGTCCGACCACCCTCCCAATCCCCAGCATAACCCTCAGCGAGAAAGCCCAGCTGGGTCTACCCAGTTACACCGGTCAACGAGGGTCTCCATCGCCGCCGGCCGCTCTAATTCACGCTCATTCATATTCATTCTCTTTTCTCTCTGTCCCTCTTCCTTTCTCCCCAAAGACTCCTAACTAGACAGGCCGATCCTCCCCAGCGGCACTCCCTTTCATTCTTCCCCTCCCACCACACACACACACACACACACTCACACACACACACCCGGACCCAGACAGCCCACTCCACTTTCCAGACGCCCACCTCCTACATACTCCCCTCCCCTAAACAGACATTCACCCACTCGCCATCTGTAGCCTCCTTCCGCCCCCCGCCCCGCCTGCCTGGCTCCCCCTCCCCAAGAAGCAGACCTGCACAGTGGGACGCAGGGACCCCCGCCAGACGCTCGGGTCGTGCACGCCGCACTGACCTCGGCCCGCCCCGCCGGGAAACTAACAAAGGCAGGCGCGAGCCCGGAGCCCAGGAGCCGCGAGCGGCGGCCGCGGGGCCAGGGAGCCTGGGCCGGGCCGGGCGGGGACTACTCCGGAGTCAGGAGGCAGCAGCTGCGGAGGACGCGGATCTCTGGCAGTCAGCGCCGCTCGGACGCTGCCGGCACCATGGGCTGCTGCACCGGACGCTGCTCCCTCATCTGCCTCTGCGCGCTGCAGTTGGTGAGTGCCCCGCGCGCCCCTGCCCCAGGACAGGTCCCTGCTCTGGGACCGGCCTCTCCGGCTCCCTCTGCGGTTCCGCAGCTCCAGGCAAGGAGCGAAAGGGTGAGCAGGGCGCTCCGCCCGGCTCCCAGCCACCTCGCTGCCCGGCTGGGCTCGCACTGCTCTCCAGCCGCAGGCACTCGCCGGGTCGCCCCTGCCCTGCGGGAGGGCGCGGTCTCACCCCCGGTCCCGCGCGCTGGGGTTCGCCGCGCTCCCGCCGGGCGTCGCCACGCGGTCCAGGGGTTGCTGTCCAGGCGCCGCGGTAGTGAGCGATTTCCCTGCCTCTTGATCCGACACCTGGCTTTAGCACCCTCCGAGTTCGTGATGAAGTTACACGGGGACTTGCGGGCTTTTTCTTCTTAGGATGATATCCAGGAATGTTGCTTAATTACACAATGTGTGTGAATGCCCAGGTTCTGAGGAGACAGAAGCTTCCTCAACTCTGTTAGTGAAGAGTGAGGTGGTTCTTACCTTTGGCAGGTTGAAAGGTGATGGTTAAGGAGTCTGGGACCTCCAGAAAGGAGATCAGGCTGTGTGCTTCAGCCCCTGCCCTTCCGATTCCTCTTTGGATTTTGTTGAAATGTTGCATGTTCAGGCGGCGACAGACTGACAGCTGTCATCAAGGAGAGAACAGAGTGAACCGGCTCCACTGGCGTGGTGCCTTGCAGAGGGAGTGTGTGTAATGGGAAGTTAGAAACTAGAGTGGAGAAAAAAGGGCCTTTCAGAGCAGAGCAAATGCTCCTCTTAATCCCTTTGGATCCTGGACTGGCCCTGTGGTCTATTCCATGGTCACTTGAGGTCAAGGCCACAGACCTTTTGAGTCAAACTTGTGTGTGTGAGAGATTAATAGACATCCCCCTTGCGTTATACTTGAGACAGATTCTGAGTGCTCTGTCAAGCTTTCTTCGAAGCATTGTATGTTTTTTTCGAGTCACAAATATAAACCTAGCATATTTTGACAAGTGAGAGGAAAAAGCTTGCAATGAACTTTACTTAGTAATGTCATCCCTTGCAAGACTTATTAACTGAGAGATAAAATCGTGCTTTTTAGTAGTTAGTCCTTGTTTACATGAAGGTTTTAGAAAGTTTTCACTTTTCTCTTGCCTCAGTGTTCCAGTCTCCCATGAAAACCTCACTTTGGATGTGCCCTTCATTGTTCACATAGTGCATGCGTAATTTATGTATTCACAGGTTTGAAATCAGTGACCACTTTTTAAGTCTAATGGATAGTGCCTTCTGTCGTGTGAAATACTTGAATGAAATATATTTTATAGTTTTCTTGAAAAATAATTTTTAAAATTTACAATATGAATGTTTTCTTTCACTAAGAAGGCAAGAGCTTGATTTGTACTTTGGTTTTTAGAAAGGGACATGGTTTGTAAGTTGGAAAAACTGACTAAACATTGAGTCAACTCTTGATTCGAAGTAAGATTATGGATAGGCACGCTGGATTGCATAATCTATAATGCATAATTTCTATTTTACATGGAAATAACAAGTAAGGTTTTTATGTAGCAGATTTATCAATGCAATTATGATTTTCTTAACAGGCATTGTGATGATAATGTTTTTGAGATTTCATCCATCAGCCAAGCATGCCCCACTTTCCACTTTCTCAGTTGATACAAATGCAACTTATTTGTCAAAGCTTATCTTAAAATTCCATTTTTTAACGAAGTCTTCCTTGGTGCTCCAGGTAAAATCCCTTATATTCCTATAATCTCATAGCACTTCACTTTTTCCTCTGTTATAAAACATTTGATACACTCTTAAATAATTTTAGGTTATTAACACATATTTATCACCACTAGATTGTAAGCAACTTGAGGGTAGGGACCATAGTATTAGTGACCTTTGCAAACTCTGCAAGTTGTTAGAGCTCATATTAGGAGCTGAAACATATTTGCTGAATTTCTGATAATACATAACATTTGCAATCCATACAGGGTTTTGACATAAACATTTCTTTTGACTTTTAAAACTATCCTGTGAGGTAGATACTCATTTCATTTGTTTGCAGGTGAGGAAGTTGATATTCACAGAGTTAAACAATTTATCCATAATCAGTAGTTTTTGGATGGTAGAAATATTGGGGTGATGGTAAGCATTTAACAACTGAATTGTAACCAAAACAAAACATATGTATATATTACATTGTAATATCATACAAGATAATCTTCTTTATGTAAAAGATGTGTAACTCTCAGCTGACAAATGATTAGCAGTAGTAAAATATGTAATAGTCTTTAGTGTGAATTCCATACAGCCATTTAATTTTGGCAGAATCTTTTTTGCTGAGTTTGATAAACTCTTGGTTTTATAGATCTGACATGAATGCTGGTGAATATTTTTATTTGCTTTAAGAAGAGGAAAGTGAAAATTGGAAGAAAATATTAGAACTTTACTTCATCAATTACGTGAACAGATTCTTGGCTGAACTGGATAATAGTTTTTAAATACTTAAAAATTATTTCCTCAGTTTCTTTCATGCTATTGACAATGTAATGTCTATAGACATGACACGCTTTTAGGTTTAATATGCATTACTTAAAATATTTCTCCATTATTTAAAAAGCCTAGACAATCAACAAAACAGTAAGCAACCACTGATTTGTGGGGTTTGCCAAATTCTTTGGTGTAGATACTTCCATCTTGACCAATTTCAAGTTTACCTTTATATAGCATTTCCATTATATACATAAGATAGCCATAACCTCAAAAGCATTGGCAAAGTAAAACACAGCAAAATAATTTGGCAGGAATAACTGTTAACTATTCAGTATCTTGGCTTTTAGTAGGATTTCTTTACATTTAAGTTTGCATAATTTATTTTTTAATAATGGCTGTATTTAACAACTAGCTCACAAAATTCCTAAAAATCTAACAAAACCAGTTCTAACTCCGAGTCCATATAAGCCTGCTTCAGCATATCATAGGGTAGAGATCCCTGTTTCCCAGATCTGGTGCACTTTCTACTGAAACCAATTGTCTTTTATTGCCCTTTTATGTTTTTTTCTGCTTCCACCAGCTATCAGACAATGGAGGTTATGAGGCAGTGAACTAATGAGGGTGTTGAAAGAGGATGGCATTGGGAGAACACATCTGCTGAAGACAATCTACATGCTCATGACTAAGGCTTGACTGGGAGGTCATCAAATAGATGATACATTAGCTCCTCCTAAAAGTTAAAGAAACATATAAAAAGCTTTTCATTATCTTATTCCCATTTCCTCTGAACTACTGTCCAGAGTGGGAAAATAAAAACTCAAATTGGGAAATTTACTTGGAGCAAACATATCCTTTTCAAGCTAGTATCTGTGGATGAGCTTTGGTTTGCAAAATCTCAGTCATTGTCTACTTTCCTCACTCCACTACTCTGGCTGTCTTTCATCATTAGTTTTTCTCCAGGCTTCTGCCCTCAAGGTGTTTGCTCCATGGTTTTATGTTTGTGATCTTCCTGATTTTCCTAGATGAAATTAAAGAGAGAGTGAAAAGTATAAATACAGGCCCATCAAAAACTATGTGAAATAATTTTTTTTTAAAGAAATGATTTGTTACTGTGTCACTAATTCATCTAGTCATCCAAGAGCCTTTAAGTACATTTTTTTTGGAAGGATATTTTCAGTTTTGCTTGTTTTATAATACTGTATATACTTATTAGATAGGTGTAATCTATGCATAAAAAGAAATACTTGATCATATGCTTTTCACACATTCTTTTCAGGTACCACTTTTAAATAAACCTTAATTGCATGATTTCAAAGTCTGACATGCCACATCTCATTTCAGAGTCATTTTCTGAGAGTAGCCTCAGTGAAGCACTGAACTAATTTTGGCAGGCATTGTTCTCACAGAGCTTTAGACATCTTTCTGACCTCACAGAGGTCAGACTCTGGCATGTTCAACGCAACTTTGGCATGTTCAGCGCAACTTTGTCTCAGGATGTTATTATTACCCATGGACATTCATTGCACCTTTTGTCACTTCAAGGTGAAAGTCTTACTATTAGACCTATGAATCAGGGAAATAGAACTCAAAACTTTCACTAGACATATCTGTGGTACCAGAAAACCCTACAAAATTTAGGGAAAATAGGCAGCTTTTAACTCATAGATGAATATTTTTTATTGTAGAGAACATCTGACTGGGTACAGTGGCTTATGCCTATAATCCTAGCACTTTGGGAAGCCAAGGTTGGAGGATTGCTTGAGTCCAGGAGTTCCAGATCAGTCGGGGCAATGTAGCGAAACCCTATCTCTACAAAAAATTTTAAAAAATTTTAGCCAGACATGGTGGCTTGTGCCTCTAGTCCCAGCTACTTGGGAAGCTGAGGTAGGAGGATCGCTTGAGCTCAGGAGATCAAGACTGTGGTAAACTATGATGCCACCATTGCACTCCAACGTGGGAGACAGAGTGACACTCTATAAAAATAAATAAATAAATAAATAAATAAATAAATAAATAAATAAATAAAAACATTCTCTTAAAGAAAACCAGCATTTTTTTCTCACAGTGGAAACGAAGTTTAATTAAGTTTCTTTCCATACCACATTCAAACCACCTGTTAGTAAAGCACCTATGACACTAGAGTGCCGAAATAAATGTGTTAAGAGGGGTCTGTAGGGGGTTGGTGTAGCTGGGGTAACATGTTTTTAACTAAGTGCTATGAAAGATGCAGCTCACCTGTCATAGATATTGGACAGCGAATACCGAAATATATTTCTTGTACTATGTATTTATACTGATACTTTGGCTTTGACATGGTTTTAATTTTAATAGTTCTTTTCTTCTCCTCTGTAATATAATTCTTAATCATTTTGTTTCCATTCTCTTTCTTTATTTCAACACTATGGTTCATGTTATGAAACTTAGAAAAGATAAAGGTTAGTGAAATTCAAATTTTGTCTACTAATGAGACTTGAGTTATACTGTGACTGGTATTGAAACCATTCTGCATTAGC